GTGAGTGTGTGTATACACACACACACACACAATTTCAGAACCGTAACGCAGAACAGTTAGTCACAGGATAAAGCTTTGTATTAATTTATCATTCATCTGAGAGGGCGCTGTTGCAATACTGTGTTTTGTCATGGTGTTTGTCACTAACACCAAGACCTCTCTGCTGTTCAAGAAAATAAACTCTTTAAGGGAATTTCTTTACTGTAATGTCAGATGACGTTCCTTACTGGTAGTTAATTATTAGCAGTCCTGCATTTTAATTTTAGAAAGCGCATATCCGCTTATGAATTATAAACATTAGTAAAACCGCTAAAGCGCAATTGACATATTTAGGTCCACAATTAGCAGATTTGCGCTTTAGCGGACTGGTGCCCATCACTGATTAGAAGGCACCGGGGCTGAAAAAAATATCGGGTTTTGGTACCCATCTGACTTATATTTCTACCTGTGAAAATCAGCAATGTTAAATAAATTCTAGGGATCAATACCTGGAATTTGCAAAAYTGGACATTTCCATGAGAATACATGGGACTAAACCTAGAACTTAAACCACTGAATGTGACCCTAAACAGGAATTTTAAGTAAAGTTGGGGAAAATATAGATTTAGAATAATCTTGAACAAAACAAACAGATTTTATATATATTAAAAAAAACAGTGTCAGCTGGACATGTAGGCACAGCTGGAAGTGGTAAAATGTAAAAAGTCTTATTTTTATATGCAATTTATGGATTTTATGTGAAAATGACAAAAACAAGAAAAAAAAAACAAAAATGATAAAATTCGTGATTCTGTAAAATTTTGGTTTGTAATGTTTGTGACACTGTCATAAGCAAATTAGTCCATTACTTTCATTAATGTAGGGCCAAACTCATCTATAAAAACAAAATGTTTGAATAGACTTGGTTTGATTTAGCCAATTGAAAAGTTTCCATTTCGAAATATTTCCGACATTTCCCAACCTAACTTCCCATAAAAACTTTCTGCCCCTTTGCAGTCCTAATAAAGTCCAGGTAAAGGTGGTAAAAGATCTCACAGCTTCCTCTGTCTTCCCACAGAATTGTCCTTTGACCATCATAAGCATCTTCGACAGTAAGGCGTCTCTGGTGTTGGGTATCTTCGTTGGAACAGGAGCTCTTTTGGTAAGCCAGTTCTGTACATTTATTTAGAACAGACAGTTCAAGGTACATTCGAAAAAGGGTAGGCAAGAATGCAATTCAAAAAACCAGTCAACCAAAATGAGCTCAATGCAGGAGCTTTAGCATGAAGTGCACCATCAACCAGTACAATCTGACAAATTCAAGAGGTGTGTGGAGATCAACTGTTTCACAGCTATATGGGAGAACTAACAAGCCTGCTGTGCAGTCTGATCGCGAACTTCAGTCTTTGACATTTACATCACCTTCCTCCCACTGCTCCCTTTGTTTTTTTACACATCTTCTCTTATTTCCCCCCAATCATTGCTTCCCAAAGATCCTAGCTCTGATTTGCAGCGCGGTGCTCAGTGCAAGCATTCGTCAGTCCGCCTCATCTCCTCAGTACATTGTCCTGACTCAGAACACCCCCGGCCTGGTTCCCCCGCAGCCATTTCAGCACGTCGCCAGCTCCCACCCTGATCAGGACCCGGTGGTCTTCACACCCCTTTCAGTGGTCAACATCCCAGCRGCTCAAGCATGAGTGCTCATCAGTGTTTGTGCGCCCTGTTATTTCATTTTATAATATTCCAACATAAGCAAGTAATTAGAATATCTCAACAAGGTGATGGAAGTTCACATTTTAAAAAGGGAAAATCCACCCTAAAAAATAATTATTCTTAAAACAATAAAAAAATGGGACAAACGTTGAGTTTTCTCCATGCTCAATATCTGGTAAATATGATAAACTGTTTCAGTCACTATACTCCTACTTCACTGTGTGAATGCTGAATCAGCAAAAAATACCCATCTCTTGAAATGTGCGTCATCACACTTAGACTGCTTCTTTTAGCTTTAGAGTCTCAGTTTCAGCATCAGTAAATTTTTCACACTGTTTTTTCTCTGGTTAATTAGAAAGTAGCTGCTGTTCTAAAATTGACATTTTTATTTTTCAAYGTTCGTGAAACGGGGTTGGATTTTATCCTTCAAAAATATACTTATTAGGGATTCACCAATACCAGTCGTAGGCATTGGTCTGATGCCATGTGTGTGCTTGTACTCACAACTGTTCCAATACCACTTGCAGCAGCGGGATCACATCTTGTGTAGTCAGGCAGGTGGAGGCATTTCAAAGTGACCAATGCTGATGAAGAGTAGGTGTAGAACTCACCAGTTTTCTTAAGACAACATCTCTAGCACAAAGTCTGTCATATGATTTCCATTCAGTTCAATAGTCTACAACAGATTAGATATGACATATGCTCATGCAACAATCATTGTGCTAGATGAACATATCGGTCCACATCAAGCATATGACAACGATATGGACGTTTTCATTTTGCCTTGATGTAATCGAATTATTGATCATTTCACCAATTTTGTGGATCAATGTATCGTTACACCCCAAACAAAAAGTCTGAATTACGCTCAAAGTTGTTGGAGGGATAAATTCTATTGCTTCTAATGTAAGCAATTTTTTAAAAAAAAGTGCAGAGTTCAAAAAGGTTGAGAATAGCCTGTGTGTTACTCAAACTTCAGCTGGTGATGAACAAGTTCCTTCAGGCAGAGAAGAGTGGCAGCTGGACAGGAAGTAGATGTTTTTAATATTTGGCTTTATCTTACTCCTGCCTCAAAGATACTGAGCAGCAGCTCAACATGCAAATTAAGGAACTCCCAACAGGATGCGCAGAACCTTTGGGAATGCACAAGCTTCCCGACGATCTCACTGTTCAACAGTGGGTGCGTTTGGAAAAGACGATGTCCTGACTCAGTTTGACATGAAAACTTGAAGCTCACTCCTCTAATTTTCAAACAAATTGTAAATAATAGCATCTATTATTACTCAGACAGAAGTACTTGTGCTTTGGGGGAAAACGGTGGTATTGGTGCATCCCTTACTAATCGCTGATCCTGTTCATTTCATTTTCTGAAGTTTTTTAGTTGGCTTGCATGCAGATTAGTAGCACAGGCTGAAAACTGTAGCTTCTTTCACTCAAACATATTAATGTGGTGATAAAGACGGGAAGCAAGTTCTTCACAGCGTTTCATTCTATCCCCCCCCCCACCTCTCTTTGCATGACAGATTACTGCTCTGGTCTGCGCCATTATCCTCCTGAAGCAGCTGAAGTCAGTCCATCAGGCGATGGCCTCTTACTATTCAGCTGTGTACTAAGAAAAAGCAGAAAAAAAAGGACTTTTGTCCTCCTCATCCTCCTCTGCCCCAAAGACCATCGCTGGAAATCCAAACAGCAGATCAGTGTTTACTTTTGTTTTAAATTGCACCTAAACTGATGATTAAAGTTGTTAGCGACCAATTTGTGTAAAAACATACATCACAGCCATCCAATGAGCCTAAAATGTTCATCTTTTCGTTTCATTAATAAGACGCAAACAGGAGCAGCATTTTTTTAGTTCCACAAGCCTGTTTTACATGATCATATTTACTCTTCTGCTGCATGCATAGACAGCTTTCAGTGCTTGGAGTTTTGCCACATTTGTTCTTTTTACGTTATCATACACAAAGAACTTGCTGAGTCACTAACAAAATCACTGTGAAAAGATAAAAAGGAAGCATGTTACTAGAATTCAAATCTTTGTGTTTTCTTCTGTGGGCGAAGATTTTTAATTTGTGACCTGGAACAAAACGTGCCCTTCACACCTGCTACTTTACTTTGTAGAAAGTTCATTCCATTTTGTTTCAGTTATGCTGAGGGGCGCAGGATGTGTCAAAAWGTAAAACGTTAAGTTTGAAATAAAGGTTTTGAATTAGTGTTGTAAGCTGAGTCCACTGTGTTAAAACTAGTCTGAAAAAACAGTTTTTGTTGTAATTGTTTGTGACCAACTAAAAGTTCAAGCCGAATGCCTTTGACTGCTTTTGCCTTGTTTTGTACTGTGCATCCATGACTACTGCACTGCTTTATAGTTTTAGAGCTAAATATTTAGTGGAAGAGTACACTTGTGCTTGTTTTCATAAAAATAATAAAAACACRCCACAGTTGTGTAAAAGTTTCTTTATTTCATTGCCTTTGCATCACTGTTTGGACCTGTGAGAAAAGTAGAAAACACATGGACGTGAAACAAGACTCAAGAATTTTACATTTTAATTTTTAACAGTGATTCCAGACTGGAGTTGTTTCTGAATCCACTCTGGTAGTGGTTTCACTCAGACCACATTAAACCAAGACTGGCTTGGGTGATCAGATCCACCCCCAAAGTGGGTTTTACAGTCTTGAAACCTTGATAAACTTTAAGATCGGAATCGTTTTATGTCAATGCACTTTTAACCTTTCTACTACCATCAGTTCATCTTTACACTGTTATTCCTGCTACATTATTTAAAAAAAATTCCTAAAGAGCTACAGCTAGCCAACTGCTGCTACCACAAATATTTAAAAATATTATACAAAAGTGACAGTTGTGATGAAAATTTAAGTGTCTATAAAAGAGAATAGTTATTTTAAGATGGCTGTAACCCACTTTATTGGCTGCAGTCACATTAGCTGTTAGACAAGTTTGACTCTAAAAAGTATTGTGTTGGTTCTTATACATTTCTAAAAAATAGAAACTTCCAAACATCCTAATTTTAGAGCTCACCTTTGCCACACCTGACTCTGCAGTCACTATGAACAGTTGAGCATACTTCTGTCAGGCATAAAATGTGGATCTGTGTTGGGAAAAGAAAAAAAGTTTTTCCAATATGATGAGTCATCTTCAATATTCAACTTCAACCTGACAGCAGCTTGTTCTAAGAGGAGTTAACTCGTCTCTCTCACACACACACACACACCTCTGGATCTTCCGGGTTCCAGTGTCCAACTTSAGTCCTGTATGGGAACCGTTTGGAGGGGAGGGAGGGGAGGCTGTTAATTTTAATCCTCCGGATGTGTCCAGAGTCGGAGGAAGGAAGCAGCTGCGAAATGCCCTGGCTGCTGCAACTGAACACCACATACAATGACAGCCCATCAATTTGAACGTCATCAAGAACATACAGAAAATCTGAGTCTTGAAGCTGCATTAAAACAGTAGTTTTGAGTTAATCAGAGGAAAAAAACGAGATTATAAACCTTAAACGATTAATTTTAATGAGAGTAACATTTACAAAACTCAATTTTAGTCACACTCCTTGAACTTTTACTGGTAAAATCAATTAATATAAATATGGATGTGTACATGTTTGTACCACACTCTCCTGGATTGATACTAGGTCGACTGATATTGGTGGGTTTTTCTTGTATTGGCTGATATATGCAGGAGTTTGCAGATTCATTAGTGCATTCAGTGGYCATGCCTTGAGATCACTGCCTGCACTGCCGCTCCCTCCCTGGCAGTGAGGCTGAGGCCAACAACAAGGGTAGGTTTTCAACCTTTGATGCATTGTAACMGTCTAATTTAGCTGTATTTGCCTTTGAACGTTTGTCTCACAGTGAGTAAATAGTGAAAGGAAAAGCTGAATTGGCTTCAAGAGTCAGGGCCCCCCCACCTTCCCAAAAAAAAAAACGAACAACAAAAAAGCACATATCGATGATTGATTAGACAGATGTCAAAATAATCTGTGTTGGCCCTAATGTAATGTGAATATAAGCTTTGGAACAAGGTTATGATGTGGCCACCTTATTACTCCTACATTTAGATTTCAAAACAACAGTCACAAAATTACCTACATTGACAAGTTTGTACAATCAAAGATATCAAAAGGCAAAAACAAAGTAAACATTCTTTCTGAAGTGTGTAAAAATGTACGACTGAAACAACTGCGGTCAAAAAATACAAATGCCAAATATGAGACAGCTCAAACATTATTAGGTAGTTCAAGGACTACTGCTGCAACACTGCCGTTTTTCATTTACAATACCACAAAATGAAATCCAACTTGTTCAGTTGTGAACATACCTGTCATAAAAACGCATCCAGCTGCCATCTGGGTTTGGTGTGTAAGCCAGGCAGGAGTGAACCAGCAGCACCATRCTGGGCTCTGAGGGCTCCAGCAGCTTCAGCTCCACATAAACMGGTTTATTCTGCATGAGGCTGAGAGGAAGGTGAGCTTTAGGGTAGAAGCTGCTGAAGGACTCGTCTACAACAAGGAAGAAAACAAATCTCTTCTGATCGAGGTGAAGAAAACTAAAGCTGGTGCTCAAATATTGGCTTGCTTTTCAAAAATTGTGCATAAATGTCAGACATTTAAAAAGGAGGGAAATAAAAGTGACCTGTTGCAATTCTCAGAATAACAGAGACCGCAGAGGAAGGTCGACGTCGATCCTTCATGTGGAACCTCAGTTTACCTGGAAAATCTGGGGAGGAACCACATCCTACCATCGACCTGCAGACACGTTAAAAATACACTGAGCTGGGAATCCTCTGCAGTTTCTAAATATTTATGGTGTACTTTGACATTTTTACAGGCTTTGCAAAGCAGTGTACTATAAATCTGAGATTTTATTACTACTGCATAAAACCTTAGATCAAAACCTGTAAAACTGATGGAGTTTGAGGCATTTGTGTGTTTGATGATATTTATTATTAGCTACAATGGCCATCTTATTAACGAGGTGCAAAATGTAAATCAATGATTACCATCAGAGTTTCAATAAAATCTGTCCTGTGGTTCTAAAACTATTTTGCTAAAAGACTGTGTTCACAAACAAACGCTGACGTTTCAGCCATTCATCCATTTTTCAGCTCATTCAGGAAATCGATGCAAAACTTGGTTTTTGTAACATTTATACTTTTCTAAATATTTAACTATTTAAAAGATCGCAATGAATTTCTCAGACGCGTTTTAAACTCCTTCAAAAATATTGTTCTCTTGTTTGGCTACTTTTGGCTTTAACAACTCTGTTTCAGCGCTTTCAGCAAATCTCAGCAACCTCTGTTCAGCAATTATTGTTATTATTACTAATAATATCACTACATTTTATTTTTTCTGTTTTTAGAAGACTTATGTGTATTTGTCAGGCAGTATTGTCCAGTTACATGCTGGCATTAACAAGTTATCATGAAGGGTTTACCAGCAGTAACTGTGATAACATTACTTATCAAAATAAAAAGTTCATATTTAACTACATAAAAAGGTTAAATATAAGCAAAACCAACATACCTTCCAGGAGAGTAAAAACTGTCATCTTTGTGTGACTTGATACCTTGGACATCCAACAGATTAACCATCTTCTGATCAAATAAAGAAAACAAGATATTACCCAATACCCAAATTCACTTCAAGTCAGCTGTGAGGTCAGAAAAATAAAAAGATATTTTAGATTTACCTGTCTGCAGTGCAATAAAGTAAACAAATCCATGCATAACACAAATGTCAAATAATACATCATGTTAAACAAAATAAATAAAGTAAAAAGGATTATTTTCTCAAACTGAAAAACTATAAAGTCAAATAAAACTCCAGGAACTAAATGTTCTAACAGGTTTTTTTAAACAATCTAAAATAGTTTCTCCTTTTTGAATGTTAACATTTTTAACTCGTGACCTTCAACATGAATACCAATGAAAATATTTCTGTAGAAATATTCAGGGACTTGCAGTTACATGCAGAGGAAGTTGTATTCATCCTCTCTGTGTAGTGACTTAATATAAAGCATGCTTGTAAAGTCATCAACATTTGACCATATTTTCTTCATACTAAATGTTTTACAAAGTTCTTGTAGGCAGGAAATCATCTTGTCACTCAGTATTTTGGTATATACCAACAGACAATGATGTGTCATTTACCTGATCTATTCCATTCATGCAGGCTGTTATTGTCACTAAACTTTTTCCACTATACTACAAACCAGGTTCCATTATGAGGAGGTTAAACATATCCACAGTTGTTATCTGGCTTAACAAACGTAAATCTGACAGAGCTAGAATTAATGAACCAATCACTAATGATGCATGAACGACTGGCAGGGGAAAAAAAACAAGATAAATATATCATGAGTACATAAAAGAAATAAACTACTAACTAACCATGGAACGCAGGAGGAGAATTTTGCTGCAATGCAAGAGCATTTTATCAGATTTCAAATTCAACACCCAACTATTAAAATGACCATTTTTGCATTAAAAAATGAAGATGAACGATTCAGAGTTTTAAGCAAAAACATTGTAAAATCCGTGCTCATATAATAACGGTCTGAGTCAGCCATTTTTTGTGTTTCAGAAGGATAGCCAGCTGTGGAAGCCATTATGAACTGTGTAGACTCAAAAAGGTAATCAGCTATAGAGGTTCATTAAATCATTACTTTCTGAAAGTTTCATGAAAATTCGTGCAGTGGTTCATTATATTTCTCCAACACCACTGAAAAACAAAACAAAAGGCAAAGACCGTTTGCCTTTACCACCAGGTGATAAATGAAGCAATTTGAGTAAAATATCCTGAGGACACAAAAACTTGATTTTTATAAACAAACATGTTTTGGACATTCATAGGGAATAAATAAAAATTGAATCTGTCATAAAAATGTTAAGCTGAGAAAGTGAGACAATTTTAACCAGTATTACACATGTGCCTTTTCTTAGTAGGTTCAGAGGTGTCTAACTCTGAGCAGCTGTGGCTTCCAACATATTGAAAGTTTTTACAGTAAGAAGGGAACAAAACCTCACTAATAACACTCATGCTTTCCTGATTAATAGTACAGACCTCAGGTTCAGGTTGAACTCAAAGCATACGCACACCCCTGACAAGATATTACAAAAAATGGTAGTTTTTAGATAAATTGCAGTACCTCTCATCTTAAACTGTACTCGTTTTAAAGGATAACATGAGATGTGAGTTCTAACGCTGTTCGCACAACAAAACAAGACTTACGCGTTTATTGACACCACAGCCATTCAAGGGAACAATGTAGACGTCAGGATGAGACATCAGCTTTTTCAGCCTGCAGGACCTTTTACTGTCCCCAGAGGACAGAGCAGGAGGGACCGCTGAGGGGTCTGCCACCGAGTCAGGAAGAGCAAAGTCAAAAACCTGTCCTGCTGTCCCATCTGTTAACTCAGATACAAAACATTATTAATGAATTATGCAGCTTTGAGTTTAACAATGAAAAAATGTAAACTCCTAATTGCAACTTGGGTTCTAGCTTTGAAGTGTGTGAATAAATGATCAGATTAGCGTTACAGACGATTTCTAGGTTTCAGACACGTATCAAGATTAGATGGGGAGAGCTTGGCACTACGCAGTGGGGAAAAAAAGCAGCCCAAATAAAAACACTACAGTCAGCATCTGAAACGAGTCCAACACTACAGGGCGGGGCAACAGGAGTGTATGGATTACCTTTAACATGATCCAAGTGTATAAAGCAAGTTAAACAGAAACACTGGCTAAACAAGTCACATTTTAAAAGCTTGGGTTTGCTCTTTAGATGCTGCAGGGTTTTTTTTTTTTTTTTCAGATTAACATTATGGAGGTATCGGATGTTTTGGCTTAGGCAGATACCTTTTTAGCAAAAGACTAGTCAAAACTTCATGCCCCCTTGTGGTTCTCTTTAAGACATTTCTCTTATGAAAAACATGTCATTTCAGGTAAATAAGAAATCCTCTTACATAGAAAAAATATCCAGCCTCTCAATTCTTGTTTTTCCAAGTATAAAAGATCTGGTTCTACAATTTGAATCAAACCTCGAGAACTTTTCAGACTAAATGCTTCAGACAACAGGATAAATGCTAAAGTTCATGGCAGTACAATTAAAAAAAAAAAAATCAAAAAAGTATGGATTGTTTGAAAAGGGCTGCAAAAAATCCCTATCTAAAAATAGCATGATTTTTTTTGCAAAGTTAAATCTGAATGAACCACAAATATCTGGAACAAAGTCCTTAGGACAGATGAGTGAAGTAGAAATACTCAATATTCCACAGCACCATCATTGGAGAAAACCAAACATTTTGTTGCAAACACTTCACACCAACCATTAAGCACAGCAGTGGAGTAGTAATGATTTGGGCTTGTTTTGCAGCCACAGGATCTGGACACTCTGCAGTTACTGAGTCAACATGAACTACTCTGTAGACTAAAGTATTCTGGAGTCAAATGTGAGGCCATCTGACAGCTTAAGATTGGTTGAAATTGGGTCACGATTCAACAAAAAGAGCTAATTCCGGGTTCACATTGCAAGGTAACTGTGCTGATTTTGGCCCAATTTTGCCCTTCTGACAATCTTAAGGACGCTCCAATTACTGTGATGACTCTAAAACTAATGTTAGATCTTCCTACTGCGTGTGGTTTGTTAGGAGTGATCTAGTAGATTCTGAAGGATGTTGGGACCGCTCCGACCATAAAATGAGGATATTCAACATGTTGGATTGTCTTTGCCTGATATCCCAGAATGTGTGGTGTTCAGAGGACAAATGAGCTCGCAGCCTGTGGATGTTGCCAGTGAGAAAGTGTGGTAACAAACATGGAGGGGAATCCAAAACAACTTCCATGGTGCACCAGAAAGTCTAGTTGAAATCGATTAGACATCTTTTTGTTTTGTTTTTCTACGTTAAAAATAGCCCAAATTATAACCATCACTTCTTCCTGGTCTCCAATGTTTATTTCTCTGAACTCAAGTTTGATCTTGAGAGGTCTTGTGAAATTTCCTGCCTGACATCTGAATGTTGGTGAGTGAAATCTGTTCGTGTGAGGTGTGTTCTTTGCAATGTGGCTGTACACCACCCACTGTAGGACCAAACCTGTTCCCGCTGTGATTTTTATTGTCATGTGTAAGCTCTCAGGTTTTGAAAATCAACTGAGTTTTAAAATCTTGCCATTTGAACCAAGCATAGAGAAAGAATCAAGATGTTGCAATGATCCAAAGTCTAAACCTAACTTACATGCAGTGGTGGGATCTTAAAAAGCTGTGCAGAAGCAAATGTTGGAAAACCTCAAAGGATTGGAGAAATGTACTAAACAAGAATGGGCCAAATTYCCTTTAAAACCTAATAGTCATACAGAAATGACATTACTGCTTAAGGTGGTTCTACAAAATACCAAATCACAAAATGTACTTTAATTTTCCACACACTTCATTATTTTGGCCTTATTTGTGTTTAATGACATGATGGAATCTGTTATGTATATTTTATGCACTACAGGTTAGATTAGAATAATCTTAAAATCTGGTAAAGACTGTATTATTGAGATTATGTTCTGCTAAATTTAAATAGTAAAAGACTGTAAGCAGAGAAACGTGACTCCTAATGTGATCCTTTACCTTTCATTTCTTTATCCAGATTGACTTTTACTCTTTTTCCACCATGTTGCTCTGACGGTTCGGATGGACTTTGCCGAGTGACAAAGTAGGAGTAAAGACTTTGAGGGGGGTCATACATTGACAAAGGGACACTGGAAGCAGTTTGCTGGGTTTCACCGAAGTCAAAGGGTTGAGAAAGTTGAGATGCAAACTTTGTAGAGGCTTTCTTTGTCTTTTTGCCATCTTGATGATGTAGCTTCTGGTTGCGTTTGACCAGCTGAGGCAGATAAAGGGAATAGTAATGCAGTAGCCTTTTCTGAATATCATTCATAGACTCTGTGCGTGGAGTGTGATTGCGATTGGACGGTTTAACTGAAGAAGATGCTGCAGCTCGGGGCGTAATCTGAGCACCAAGGTTGTGTTTTTCACGCAAAGCCTCAGGCACATATGTCAGATAGTTGTTATAGTAGTACTTGTAAGGATCAGCGTTGTGGGTAAATCCTGGAGCTGGGATAAAAGGTTTTTCCAGAGAAGGAACTGAAAGAGGATCTGGTTTGTGGGAAGAACTCTGAGGTACTGGAGACCAAACCACAGGAGTCACAGGGGCAAACAGTCTCCCACTGCTACCGTCTTGTAGCTTCGACACATCAGATTTATCCATCTTTGTATTATACATTTGGGGATTTGGATTTGTTTTTGCAGCCACATGAGGATGTAAAAGAACCAATCTTTTAGCCTCACTTTTCCCAACATCTGGCTGGTAGAGGAAATAGTAAGGAAAAGGCTGTAGAGGGTAAGAAGCAGAAAGTGATGACACTTTGGAACGTGTTGGGAAAATGTGGGGAGAAGGGATGATTAATGGAGACATCTTGTTTGAAGCATCTTTAAACTGACTGACATTGGGGGGCAATGAAGAAAGCTGGTGGTTTTGAGAACTAGTCGAGGATGTTAATCTTTCAGATGCACCTGGATCCTGAGGAGTTCCAGGAAGAGGGATTTTGGGGAGATGGTAGTAGTGGTAATGTGGACTGAARTCGTGACCTGGAGGTTGCTGAAAATCAACCTGAAAACCTGTGGTAGCTGCACTGTTCCCCAAGACGTTTGAATCAGAAGCTTTACGATTTTGTTTATTTTTATAAACTCGGCCAGAGTTCTTTGTTTGATCTTTAGATGAAAGAGGCCTGTGGGTTCTGTAGGGTTTCAAGGTCTCCTGAGGAGGAATTTGATCGTAGTAATAGTCCTGGTTTTTTGGCTGTGGACTAAAAGCAACGCCAGGAGCCATAGGTGCAAAAGGGTTATAAGAATCATGCCCTTTGGGCTGAGGATACGTAGGGTGAGGATAGTTAGGTGGGGCCAGGTAAAATGGTGGGATCCACAGTAAAGGTCCTACAGATTTTAGCTTGGGATCTGCAACTCTCTTGGCAAAACTAGGGTTGTCTGTGAGAGGCTGATGGGTAACTGGAAGTTTTTCAAGGGGTTGGATAGGACAAGTCAATATAAAGGTTTCCTTTCTTAGTTTAAGTGAAAGTATGCTATTTCCATCCTAAAAAATGAAAAAAAAAATTTCATTGTATGTTTTAAAAACCACATTCAGTTCTACAGCAGAACAGTAGATCTTAAGTCTGTTTCATGTAAATGTTTTGTAAGTTTACCTTCGCTGTGACACCACAGGTGTCAAACGGAACAAAGATTAAAATGTCTTCATCTCGTTTTTTTACAGTGTAGCCGCACTGATTGGCCAACAGTGATAAAGGAGTCCATTCTCCTCTCACTAGAGAATCAAAAACATGATACTTAATTTTAAAAAGACAAAATATGAGGTAAATAGTGTTTCCCCTGTATTATTGGAAAGTTTACCATTTACATGAGGCTCCTTGTCAGCAGAGGGTCCTCGTAGTTTGAGAGCCATACCCAGAGAGGAGCAGCAGAGGAATAATGGCCCCTCACCTGGACGCTTGTTCTTAGAGACTGGACAGGACACCTTGACAGGAATCCCCCTCCACAGCAGAGGCAAAACATGGCTGCCGTCCTGAATGAACGGATTTAACATATTTATTAAAATGACTGATTGACTCCTTCAGTAGGAAGTATTACACTCATAGGTCAGCTGAGAAAGTCCAACACTCCTCCAAATATGAGTGTGTACTGAGTCATTTCATTCAAAATATGAGTCAGCTAACCACATTTACCAAAAACAGGCTTTAGAACTGGAAATCAGACAATGGAAGTTAAATTAGTCCAGTAAGGTTTAAATGTGATTTTGAGAAAGTGGCTTGTTAAATAGACAATTATACTGGTAAAAGGAGTGTCCGCACCTCCTGAGTGACGTGGCAGGCATCGTACTGAGCCTTCAGACTGAAGTCTTTTGGAGTAATTTGAATAAAGTAACCACAGCGAGGAGGGAGCTGGAACAGCAACGATGACCCGTTCACTAGGACACAATAAACATCATTTTAATTCGATGGAAAAAGAAAACAGTTTAAAAATCAAATTTCGATTACATTCTTCATGAACTATGTGAATAAAATTATCTAGATGCTTTTTAATTTTACACATACATTTTAAGTTTTATTAAATGTTCAGAACAACAGTTTTATCCATACTCCACTGTGACATGCTGGGGCTACATTTAGTTCATGTTCATGTCACAAAGAGTGAAACATTTAGCAAATGTACAGAAAATTAAATGGTAAAAAATTAGAGCTTGATGCTCTTTTTTTAATAAGCTGTCCTGTTTTAAGATGGTGACCTGACCACTTTTAATGTGTATACAATTGTATACAATTTCAATGTATACAACTTTAGCTTAGTTAACTCAGTTATGTTGCTCAAGCAGAAACAGTCAGAAAATAAACTAATGCAAGTATAAAGTCTAGTATAATGTTTAGAGCAGTAAGATATAACAGATTATGTTCGATTTGACATTTCAAARACATGCTCCTGGTAGCATGTTTGTATAGATTTTTGAAATTTGTTCATTTTTCAGGTTTAATTGCCAAAGCAATCCATTTTTAGTTAATACTAATCTAAAAACTCTGGGGTGGGGGCATTTTTACACTTACTAGCTACTCTAAATCCAGAATGTCTCATTTTGGAAAAGCCGTTACAAAGTGCCTGTGACATTCATTTTTTTGTAACAAACATGAGTGCATTTTTTGGAAAAACAACATTAACAACATACTGCAAAGAAACATTTGCACTGCTGAGATGAACAGTGGAGATATTTGCAAGTGAAGTAACAGAAAGTGATGTCAAAAGGGGAATGTGATTGTAAACAGAGCATTGCTACAATGATAGCACAGACTGTAGAGAAGAGTTTGGTGTTTTAGATAATTCTGAGTCACTATTAGAGAAACACAAATAAAAAGAATAGTTCAAACACTTGTTTCAATAAACAAAGACCAGGGAGTTTCTTTTCTTAAAGAGTTCCCCTTTGATGTCACTTCCTGTTTCACTTTAGTTGAGCCAAGTTCAGAAGAATATTCTAATTATGTGGCAAAATGGGTAAAATCGTGTTTTATGCAAAGTTTCTTAAATATAAAGAGGTTTTGAATTTGAAGGATATGCTTGTCACAGACACTTTAAACTCCAGTTACTTCCTCCTAATTTTTACATCTCAAGTGATGAAAAGAGATCAGAACGCTTGAGTATAAAGGCTGAAACAGCTTTAAAAAAGTCTCTACAATAAAAAAAAGGATGGCAAAACTCTAAAACTGGAGAGCGCATCAACAGGATGTAACCTGACCTTGATCCAGCACCAGCTGCGTTGCCCGTTTCCTCCTGACGGTGAGGATCATGGCGTTTTCTCCACACTCCACTGTGGGCTCTAATCTCTGCCAGCTCTCATGTGAGCCGCTGGACTGCTGACCTCTGCTCCTCACCTGGTTTCCCTGGCCCTGGACTGGAGAAAAACAAATAAATATCAGTTTGAGTAAATCTGTTTTTATGAAAGTGAAGCTGGCGCTGCCACTGTCAGCAGGGATTCTGTAAAAAAAAAAAAAAAACAATGTACACACATGTGGCATCACATCGAACTGATGTCACAAAGTGGTATGTGGAGAAATAGGTGGCTGTAGTGCATTGATTAAAATGTTGCAAGAATTGAATTTTGTATGGCAATCCTCAGTTTGATTTGACGGATCACATGTGGTCTTTTACATAAACAAATATCTGCAGCAGTTAGCGGTMGCACTTCTAATACATGGAGCACTTTGACTGGAATTTCATAATGCATAAAGCAATAACCTTTGAATTGTTTTAAAAGTGAAAATCTGTTTTGTAAGTGCTTCTGCTCAGACATTATTGACAAGCTTATAACAGCTTGTCTGAGCAGACTCATTTAAAAATCAGATTTTACCATCGTCATGTTTACTCAGCTCTTATATACTGGAAATAAGTCCAAAGGACTGACGCACTCAGSTGCCTCAGCACATCCACATTTTCATGGTAACACATCATTCAGTTAGATAAAAACAAACACTGTCTGCAAAAATGCAGAAGTTKATTAATGTAGAGTTCTTAAACACCAGTGATACTTTCATCAGTAAGTTTTTTATGCATAAAAAATGCAATAATAGTCACCAAACTGAGCAGTCATTCATCTAAGTCCTGTCTGAGGTCTTTCTGCTCTGTTCTGACTGAGGCTACAAATAATAAATACCAACTATTAACCACCAAGACACTCAAAATGACCCAACTATTTAGTAATTTAATCCCTATTTAATTGCACAATTATTTAATCAGAAATACTGTATAATACTAAATGGCCCTTCAGCCAGATTACCACAGATAAATATTAAATAAGTAATTGACATTGGTTTGGAATAACCTTTATATGAACCATCAAGATGTGATAATGGAGTTAAAACTATAGTTTTGTCATTTTTGAAATMGTCAAATAATTTGCAGCCATTAAATCAGTCAAAGAACCAAGTAATGAGAATGAGGAGTCAAGAATCAGGTACTGCTTCCCAGACTGACTTTTTTCTTTAACGGCAAAGACAAGAAAAAGAAGAAAGGCGTAAAATGATGGTACGATGCTGTGAAAGAACGTTAGTTAAAATTAAACTTTTACTTTTACACATTTGCTTGACAATGTTTTAAGTTTTTCACCATTTCCTCAATACCAACTTTTACTGAACTCTTGTCAAAAACGTCAACATTTGGAAACGGGACGCGCAGACAGATACATTCAGCAGCAATAAATAGAAATATACACAATAAAAACAGAAATGAGTCCAAACAGACATTACCCTGACTCTTCAGTGGACTCTCCCCCTTTTATTATTGCATTTTTCGCAACAAGTGCTTTCATTGCATGCAAGTAAAATAAGACTAAGATAACTTGCATTTTTCAGATGGCAGCAATCCACTTATCTGTTCAGAGTCCAAGCATTTTTCTAACCCAAGGTCAGAGCCAGCTGTAGCAGATACTGTTTGTTCACAACTTTCCCCCAGAACTCCACTTCAAAATGTCTGAAATGTCCCTTTAACCAACTCAACTGCACGTCACAATAAACAAAAACTTTCACTAAACTCAGAATTATTACATTTCTGTTTTTAAAAGAGGTGAAACTTCTTATAACCAAGAGGTATCAGAGCATAGTTAGGGAACCTAGACAGACTGAAGGAGGCTCACCTGGACCATCAGAATCCAAATCGTAGCCTAGATTTTTGAGGTTCGGTCCAAACTGACCATTGATATAAAACTTGCCGGGAACTGTGTGTTCAATGTGGCCCAGACTGCAGGTTCCGTTCAGGAGGCCTTGAGAGGTAAACGGCCTCTTTCTCTCGGTTTGTCTTCGTTTGAAGCGAGCTTTTGAGCTCGTTTTCCTTGAAGACASCATTCTGGGTTTGAGTCTCGGTTCGGGGGCGTCTCTCTTCAGCTCCACCATGTTTTTGAAGGTTTCAGTCTGGAGAAGAAGATTACCGGACGTTTTGTCTCCGGGCTTTGAGCCGRGGTGTAACCGCCTGGCCGGGCTGACGGGGGGCTGAATGTGGATCTCCGTCGTCACAAAGCTGCTCCCGGCATCATAGAGAACCGAGGGAGAGGCTGGGTGGACGGAGGCAGCTGTCGGCTCACACCCCCCTGCTGAAAAATATAACGTTATTGTGATGATGGTGGAAATAAGGCCGAAGCTGTACGCTTTTTGTTTCAAATGCATCGCCAACACGAGTCTTCCTCTTTTCACCAAAACACTGGGACCGAATGACTGTAAGCTGGTATTTTTGTAGACTTCCTGCCAGCACACCTGTTCACTAATTGGCCCTAATTAGCCGCGCATGCGCAGTAGGTGACAGGCTATTGCGCAGCTGATTAAGTTTCTTCCAACTATCCAGGCACACACACACACACACACACATACACACACACACACACACACACACACA